ACGACCTACGACGCTAAACGCTCCTCCTCTTGCATGTTTCCTCTGTCCATAGCGTTCCTTGACAGTGTTGTTTCTAAGTCACCAATTTAGTGCTACTTGGTCCCAATGGAATTTCCCATTGGGAACCTACTAGCACTAAGTTGCTAACTGGTTAGCAAGATGCTTCTGAGACACCAGCTACAACCAAACTTGCTTGCGAATCTTTCACCACAACAATCCCGCCCCCTTGATAATCGACCATCACATTCACTTTATTCACACGCGTAAAGTCAGGCACCACTCGGGAGAATTCGGAAATGCAACGGTTGGAACAGCTGCTTCCCCACGATTTTAAAAGCTTGCTAAAGAAAAACTAAACAAAAAAAGCCAGAAATAGACTGATACATTGGCCACATGTAGGCCGATATTTTGATAGATTTATTAGTGCATTCAGCAGCTTTACAATAGGCACTCCCAGAGGCGGATTTATCATAAGGCAGAACTAGGCAGTTGCCTAGGGCCCCAAGTTCCTGGGGGCCCCATTAAACTCCTTTTCCATGTATGGTTGATACAGCTTTTACTTATTTGTGCACATTAATTATCTTTTTGATAAAAAATCCTTTTGTAAAAATGCCATCAGAAATCGATCAGATTGGATCAGTCCAAATACTGCCCATGTGCAGAAAGGTCCAAACAAATAGCAGCAAATCATTTGAAAACAAACAATGCGAAGAGCAGTGATCTCAACTTAGTGTTTTGTGGCCATATTTAGCTACATTTCAGACCCCTCTAGCGCCAAATCTAGTGACTTTTTTCTGTTACTGGAGACTTTGGCGACAACATATAAAAGCACCAAACTCTGCTCTCCAGAGCAAGTAGATTGGTAGCCCCACCTCCTGTTCTCCTCTATCCTGTCTGCTGTCATGATTCATGCAGCTTATTATTTCATTAAAATGAAAAATGGAGAACAGATAAGCAGATCATGGCTTGTCTACAAAGAAAAGAAGGACTGGGTTATTTACTTTTGCCGTCGCCAATTAGCTTAGTTAGAATGGACTTAGTGATTGGAAATTCTTTTATTCCTTTTGAGACAGCATGAAAAGTCAGCTGAGCACATTGCCAATATGAAAAGAAAAAGGAACAAAAGAAAACAGAGGAAAACAGCAAGAAAAGGGATAAGAAGAGAGGGGCAAAACGGAGAACAAATTATTTATGTCTATTCTATAAAAATGTCTGTATCTGTATAACGGGTCTGTGTTATGCGTTGCCTTTTCAATTCAGAGAGCCCCATGTCTGTATTTGCCTAGGGCCCCAAATTTTCTAAATCCACCCCTGGCCACTCCCTTTCATTTTGCTACCCTTTTGTTCCATCTTCAAATAGATGTTTCTTTTTTGTATTTTTATTTATTTATTTTTTTTATTTAGACTTCTAATGCTTTGATTTTTATTATGTAAATGGAGGACAAAAAAGCTATTTGGGCTCCAGAAACATCGGCAGCACATCTCTCTCTCTCTCTCTCTCTCTCTCTCTCTCCAGCTTTTATTGTCATTACACTGTCACAAGTACAGAGCAACAAAATTAACTTTCTGCATTTAACCCATCCGCTTGGGAGGCAGTGGGCTGCCATTGTGCAGCGCCCAGGGAGCAGTGTGGGGTCAAGATCAGGGACCCAGAGTGGGAGTCTGTGGGAGTGGAGCTTGAACTCAGAATCTCAGGATTCCAAGCATAATGCCCTAATCACA